GGTGGGAATCAAAAAGCGATATATGATTCTGCAGCTTTCCTAACCGCTACAGATCCCAGTATTACATAGTTACATAGTCTATCCAGTTCAACCTACAGTTCCCTCCTGGAACCCCCCCCATGCTAAACTGTCCCCCTCCTGGCCCCCCTGTGCTATACTGTCCCCTCCTGCCCCCCCCCCTGTGCTAAACTGTCCCCTCCTGGCCCCCCCTGTGCTATACTGTCCCCTTCTGCCCCCCCACCACATGCTAAACTGTCCCCTCCTGGCCCCCCTGTGCTATACTATCCCCTCCTGACTTAGTCAGTCATGACCTGTTAGGCCATTAGAGCTAGAGCGTGCCATAAAACGTACATTCCACATGAGTCATTTTTCGTACAAATTCATAAACTTCAGCAGGAACTGGGCACATTAATATGAAGTATATATTCAGATAGATATTTTTAATATGAGTCACACAAGACCTTACATGACTATATTAGTACCTACAAGAGAGAGGAAAGCAGTCTCTTTTATCCTGAGTGGCAGGATATGCTATGTTTGGTATCTTTGCGTTTGGAATATAATTCTAAATATTAATCTGCCAGATGCTAGGATGTTACCTGTACCTATTGAAAGGTATTGACCTTAGTATGAAATTGTAAGGGATTTGGTCATAACCTTTGTTACCGCCTAACACCCATACCCAAACTGGATGATTGGTCATTTGTTTTCAGGAGACACCCCTTTGATATGATAGAAAAAGACTGACAGCCTGGAGAAAAAAAAGCTCTCCTTTAACATTGATCAAGAACCATCTAAGAGACTTGAGAGCCAAGGCAACCTTTTATTTGGAGAATTAGACTCCAATTGAAAACCAAGGACTTTTGCAAGTATTCTGCCTTCTGAACTCCTTTCTTTTATTTCTCTGTTGTTTTATTTGCTCTTTTTATAACTTTGTTAGATCTTTTTTAGTAAATATTTTGACCTTTTTAGTAATAAATCCTATTTTCTGAAAAGTGTTGAACTGTCTCTAAAGCTTTTAATGCAAACTAAAGAATCCCTGTCTTTTGAAGAGTGCTACTGTATGTAATAATCCTCTGAATATCCCTGTCTGTGGTGACAGTGTGTTAAAGACGCTTATACTAATATCATAGTGTTGTTGCTAAGATTTGTGAGTTTCCTCCTTTTCTGTAAAAAGGTGGTGGTGGCAGTGTGAAGGGTTAATTGCGTAATTAACCTGACCCAGTAACAATCACGCTCAGGTTGCTGGTACATAGATTGTAGTCCCGCAAGCTGGAAAATCTTTGTGCAGGGCACAGCTGAGAGTGGCATTGTTACGCACAAGTGTCAGCGCGGTGTGAGATCGGCTGGTCCTTCGGTCACAAGTTGGTGAGAAGGGCTGGGGTCGGATGCCGTGTTCCGTCACAATCCGTAATACCTATTCTTCAGCTGAACGCTTCAAAAAACTGTGCGAGCAAAAGACCTACTGTATTTATGTACCTGATAGGCTGGCTCCAGTAGGTCTCAATGAGGAGATAGAAATCAGTATGATCCTATAAGAATACTTCCTCTGGCTGTTCATTTTTTATCATTGACTACTGATCTCCTCTCCTCTGCATATTACAAAGGGTACACTAGATATAGAGTAATCAACAGAATTCAATTAATAAGATAGAATCATTACTACGAAGTATGTTTCACAATCTTTTCTTCCCCCCTCTTCTCTCCAAGCTGTTATCCTTATGCACAGATGTATTTTCATTGATGGATTATATATATCCTTTCGACATAGTAATTACATCCTTTTTTATATATACAGTCATGGCCACAAATATTGGCACACCTGCATTTCTGTCAGATAATGCACCACTTTGCCCAGAAAATTGTTGCAGTTACAAATGTTTAGGCATTCTCATTTATTTCTTTTGTTTGTATTGGTGTGACACAAAAAGCCAAATCTGACACATTCCACGCAAACCATCTCACCTATCTAAAATGATAACAAACAGGATCATATGTTCTGGAATTCTCTCCATGATGATTTTTCTACTTATAAATAAGTGCTTCCAAAATATATTAAACTGCATTATTTACATAATTTAATGTACCCTGCAATAAAAAAAATAATACCTGAGTACAGGAAACACGGCTCACCTGACCAGGACTCATTTTCATCCATTAGTACCTGTCATGTTTCAGACCTTTTTGCTGCCTAGATACAGTATGTCTTACCAGTTCATTGATGCCCTGGGCATAACATCTTCTCTCCCATTTGTAGGACAGCAGTATTCCCAGATCCACCCATATGGTGTTCTGTAACTAATGGCTTGGAGGCTGCAAGAACAGGTGAGGACCTCACTAGCTGGTACCTTTTACTGACAATGTCACTTGGCATAATTATGGGATTGTGAAAAACATACCCACATACTCACCTATGTGGCTGCAGCATCAGTCCAATGCTGCAGCTGTCCCCTGCCAACTATAAGACCGAGCAATTACATGACCGCTGATTGCTCAGTTCTTGATCTTCAGTGAGCAGAGATCAGTGACTGTTTGAGGGACAGAGCATAGAGCCTGCAACTAACATTCACTGGTGTGCCAGGCTGTTTAAGGGGTGGGAACGGCTGGCTCAGGTTCTCAGCGGCACGCAGAGAGGCTGAGCCAGCTACCAGCCAGGCATCTGGATGAATCCTGATATTATTGTTGGGGTACCTGCAGAGTCTGGACCAGCTTGGTGACATCTTCCAACAGCAGGTTTTAGCCCACTGTCGGCTGAATCAGGGACACAGGAGTGCCAGACTAAGTGCACTCCTGTGACCCAGAGGAGAAGTATGGCCAAAAGAGCTTTGACCATGCTTCTCCTTTAACTCCACCCAACCCTTCTTCTGGCAGCTTGCCACTGCTGTCAGTCTTTAATGTGGACACACGCAATCGACAAAGAAAACGTTTACTAATGACATTTCACTTAATATTTTAAAAACCATTTACTTTTTTCGCTCCTATTCTGTACAAGCAAGTTTAGGGTAAAAGATTTTTTTTTTTTTTTTTTAAATAAGGTATGTTATCATATATGGGTTCACTCTGCATTACATTTTGTATATATATAAACATCTATAAAATCTTAATGTGCTCCATGCAGCAGACCATAACTTTAAGATCACCACAGACATTACAATCTGATCATACAATCTCTTTGATCTACCAACAAGCATGTAGTGTAAGCCTGGGTTCAAACTGATGCGGTGCGGAATTTGCAGTGTTTTCTGTGCGAATTCCGCACTGCATCAGAATCACACCCTGTTCATGCGAACCGATGCGGGTGTGTATGTTAACAACACCCCGAAATCAGTCTGCAAAACGTGGTGTGGTCTAGCGTGGATCCAAAAAAGGGTCCTGCACCTTTTTGGTGCGGGTGCAGTGTTGTTTGAGCCATACATAATGTATAGCTCCAATCGCACCGCACACAAATCACATGGGATTTACACAGGAATGTGGAGCGGTTCCTGTGTGAATCACATGCGATATACCGCACCACAGTAGTGTGAACCTAGCCTAAGGGTATACCTGACTGGGTACAAATTGACTAGGTAATGTAGGTAGGTCCCCATATTACATAGTTTTGGTAAATCTATAATTGATTGTACAAAGATTGTATCATGAGTGATTGGAACCCTTAGGCCCTGTGTACACTTGAACTTGAGCATTTGGGCGGAATTGCCGCAATTCTCAAAACACTTTGCACAAATATTGTGTTAGTGCTTTAGTTGCATTATGTTTGTAAATGCCTACACCTAGTCTTAGGGATTTTCTTAGTTGCTGTTGTCAGTATTGTTTTCTTTTTTTTTTTTTTGTGATAATACATAATGGAGTCAGACTGTTTTACATGAGATACTGTATTTTATTCCTAAGGCCCCATTTACACTTGAGTGTTTGCGATCTCAGGTAAAACTGCTGCGATTCTGCCTGTGATCCCAACATGCTCTACAAAATGACAAATCGCAGCACATCAAGAGAAGCTTGTCACTCAAAGGAGCAGGAGCTTCTTTTGGGTGACAAAGCGGTTTGCTATGATTGCAGCATGGGTTATTGTGACAGTACCACTCCATGTTTTGGTGCCCTTTAAAATGAATGGAACCTGAACAGGTGTGGTGCAATGTATCATTTGTGCAAAGTGTTTTGAGAATTGCGGCAATTCCCCCCAAATGCTCAAGTTCAAGTGTACACAGGGCCTAAGGGTTCCAATACTTATTTTCCACCATAATTTGCAAATAAATTCTTTCCAAATCAGCCAATGTGATTGTCTGGATTTTTTTTCTCATTTTGTCTCTCATAGTTGAGGTCTATCTATGATGCCAATTACAGGCCTCTCTCATTGTTTTTAAGTGGGAGAACTTGCACAATTGGTGGCTGACTAAATACTTTTTTGCCCCACTGTGTGTGTATGTATATGTATATATATATATATTAAAATGTTCTGTAAACCATAAGGACAAGATGCATGTTTATGCTGCTATTACTGTAATATGCGTACATTATAGGCAAATAACACACTTTTGATATTTATATTAGATTTTCTTTTATTATATAAGGAGAGACTATTTTATTACATTTATTTATCTTTTCCATTTTTTTTTATATATTTTGTGATGGTTTGATTCCTCCCATTTATGGGGAGGTACTTCTGGTTCTCATGATGTGGGCAAGATAGAATGTATTTATTTGACTTAAGGATCACTTGTTGTTTGGCTCAGAAGAAGGATATCCCTTCGAAACAAGTCAGCCTGCAGGGACCCCGTAGTTTTCCCTCCTGTGCTTTGGAGACGGTCTAGTCTTGAAACAACTTTGCCAATGAGGTGTGGCTTGATGAGCACTTTTAACTTCTATGCTTGTAAGTAGTTTTTTTAACCACCTCCCGCTCGCCATATAGTCCAGTGACGGGCGAAAGGTGGTTCTCTCGTTCTGGGAGGACATCATATGACGTCCTCCCATTCTCACCGCGCATGCGCGGCTCAGAGAACGTGCAGCACGGCGATGCACTGTGTCCCTCGGACACAGCGGATCACCGATCTACGGAAAGAGCCGAAGATGTCGGCTTGGTCATGTGACCAGCTGTGTCCAATCACAGCTGATCACATGTAAACAGGGAAATGCCGGTTATCGGCATTTCTCTCCTCACGAGCTGTCACGCTGACAGCTCGAGAGGAGAGGAGAGCTGGTAATCGGCATTTCATGGAGGGGACATGTACACTGATCATCAGGGCACTGATAATCAGTGTGGCCCCAGAAGTGCCACTTGACAGTGTCCATCAGTGCCAGCTGCCAGTGCTGAACAGTGCCACATCAATGCCACATATCAGTGCCTACCAGTGCACATCAATGCCACATATCAGTGCCCATCTGAGCTGCCTTTCAGTGTCACCCATCAGTGCCACCTATCAATGCCAATCAGTGCCACCTATCAGTGCTGCCAATCAGTGCCACCTATCAGTGCCAGTCAGTGCCGCCTATCAGTGTGCATCAGTGCCTCCTATCAGTGCCCGTCAGTGCCACCTAACAGTGCCAGTCAGTGCCGCCTATCAGTGCCATATATCAGTGCTGCCTTTCAGTGCCCATCACTGCAGCCTCATTAGCGCACATCAGTGAAGGAGAAAAATCACTTATTTACAAAATTATACAACAAAAACTAAGAAAAAAACATTTTTTCAAAATTTTCAGCGGTTTTTGGTTTAAGAAAAAATAAAAAACCCAGAGGTGATTAAATACCACCAAAATAAAGCTCTATCTGTCAAAAAACAAATGATAAAAATTTCATATGGGTACAGTGTTGCATGACCGCGCAATTGTCATTCAAAGTGTGCAGCGCTGAGAGCTAGAAATTGGCCTGGGCAGGAAGGGGGTATAAGTGCCCTGTAGGCAAGCGGTTAATCAAATTTATAGTAAAAAAGTTTTGGGATAATGCACTAGGCTGGGACATCTCTTGTCTGATATCTGTAAACCTAAAGTGTTATTAAACCCATGACCCTGCATTCACCATATATGTCTCCCACAGTATACACTAGCAGTTTATATTTACTAAAATAACTGCATTTCCATGTAAATACCTTTTCTCATCAACAGGTTAGAGCAGTCTTGTGACTTCTATCAGTGTCCAGCTGAGCACTGGTTAAAACTTGGAGGAGGCGTTTTCATTCTCCCCTGATTGTCCTGTGAAGCTGCAGGACCCCTGACCTTCTATTTGGACAATGCTGATTGGTCCTTTGCTGATCACATGCATTCTCCCAAAAAAAGAACTATCTAGTAATACATACCAAACTGAGCATGTGCAGCTTGCCCCCAAGGCTCTGTTCTATCAGCAATGGATTGGGGACAGTAGAAGAGGAGGAGGATCAGAGAAAACAGGATCAAACATCCTTTTTACACAATGCAGAGGATTAACCCCTTAGGTTCCAGTGTGAGTATAACAAGCATGCTTTGCTGCTTATGCAGATTGATTTTACTGTTGTGGGTTCGGCAACACCAACTGCTTTGTAACCTAAACTGCAAAATATCAGGAAATAGGGTTTTAACTGCTGTGATTCAACTGTCACAAAGATTCACGACACAGGTGCTGGTTGTTGCATGATATGGCTTTAGGCTGAAAGATGCATAAGGCTAAACAGTCCACTCATCAAGCATTCATCAATTAAAATAATAATAAAAATCTCAAAATAAAGTCTTGCTCTTAAAATCTAAAACTAGTCCAAACTAATTTTGTTACAGTCCAAATATCTTCTACCATCCAGTGTTAGAAAAATGCATTCTGATGAGGATATAAACAGCCATTTTGCTGAGATTACAGCAAACCGCTTGTTCCATTTCAGTGCTGCAAAGCGGAAGTGGACTCAGTAAACAAACATCACTGGCAGGACCTCTCCACACGTCAATGGAGCCCTAGAACCCATAAACATGTCCGACTTGGTGGAATCATCAGTGCTTCCTGCGACCCATCTTTTCCCAGTAAGGTCCGACCAGGCTGGATCTATATGAAAACTAAACATACAAAACATGGAACTTAGATCAACAGACATTGGCACAACTGTTAAACAGAATTCTGCAATTTTTAGAAAATGACAATAGTTGTGTTGATGTACATTTTCAGTTTTCGAATGTATAAAGATATATAGGTATGTCAGTGGAGAAAGGCAGTAACAAAGAAAAAAGGCCAAAAAATTGGGATTTTAACCATTTGCCGCCCGCCCTATGGCCTAATGGCGGCCGGAAAATGTCATCAGCGTTCCGGGTGGACACCATATGGCATCCTCCCGCACATGCGCAGATTGCGCTCCTGCAGAGCTGCACAGCGGCGCGGACAGGGCTGATGACAGATCTGAGTATCGGCCCCCATTGCAGGTACCATGTGACCTGCTGTGACCAATCACAGCAGGTCACATGACAGTTGTATACAATGGATGGCTTCATTCATGCCATCCATTGTATACTAGTGTCTAGCTGTGAATGGTCACAGCTAATCACATGCACATGTCATGTGATTAGCTGTGGCCAAATCACAGCTAAACAAAAAAAAAAAAAAAAACAACCCTGAATGAATCGATGTCATTCAGGTAAATGCTTGCTTATAGCAAAGTAATTCTTTGCTATAAGCAAATTGTGTAAAAAAAATAAAAAAAAAAATAAAAATATACTGATCACTTCCCCAAAGTAGTACAATGTTACTATGGTAACATTGTACTACTTTGGTCATAGTGAAATATGAAAAAAAAAATCTTAAAAAAAGAAAATTTTTTATAAAAAAAAAAAAAAATAAAAAATATATATATATATTTCATACTTTCACCAGTCTGTGTCCCTGATCACCGCCATGCCAGTTATATGACGACGCTGTACTGCACTGGTGACAGTATGTAAAAAAAAAATAGTGACACTAATTTTTTTATTTTCCGAAAAATTATGACAAAAAAAAAAAACTTCAAAAAACTCGCCATGCCTGTTATGAAGTACGTCAGACTGTCTACTTTGCAAAAAGTGGTCATTTGGGGGATATCTGTACTATTCTGACATTCTTGGACCTCAAGAAATTAGATTGGCTGTCAGTACTTCAGGACTGATCAATATTCAGATCTATACCATAGTTTGTGAACTCTATAACTTTCCTACAAACTAAAAAATACATCCTAATTTGGGTTATTTTCACCAAAGACATGTAGCAGAATACATCTTTGCCTAAATTTATGAAGAACAATTATTTATTTGCAAATTTTTATAACAGAAACAAAGAAAAACATGTTTTTTTTTCAAAATTTTTGGTCTTTTTTTTGTTAATTTAGCAAAAAATTAAAACCCCAGCGGTGATTAAATACCACCAAAAGAAAGCTCTAGTTGTGTGAAGAAAATGATAAAATTTTAGTTTGGGTACAATGTTGTATGACCACGCAATTGTCATTCAAAGTGTGAGAGCGCTGAAACCTGCAAACTGGCCTGGGCAGGAAGGTGTAAAATTGCCCGGTATTGAATTGGTTAAGGATAAAAAGAAACACCTTTAACCACTTCAGCCCCAGTGATGTGCCCATAATTCGCCAGGTTGAATTGGTTATACTAGGATTATGTCCGCAGCTACAGGTATCTTTCCCTTATTTTTTTTCTTTCAGCTGACAATGAGCTTTAATGTAAAAGTGATCCTAGCAGCTAATTAGCCACTGGATTGCTTTTACAGGCAGCAGAAGGGGATCTCCCCTCCCACCACCTTTCCAGGCTCTCCTGTCCCACTGGGGAGCCCAGGACTGCACCCTGACCATAGAGATTACCAAGGACTAGAACATCCTCAAACATCTCTATGGTCTCAGCAACAAGCATTTTGTCACTTCCGGCTTCAGGCTAATGTAATGGGGCCATTACCAGCCTGTGAAAGCATCATATCAAACCAAACTGGCAGAGGAGAGATCTGGGGTCTAATAGACCCTAGATCTTTCCATAAATTGGACCTGCCACTGTTCGAGTGTATAATTTTTATCATTTTTTTTTCTTAGGCAAATAGAGCTTTCTTTTGGTGGTATTTAATCACTAGATTTTTTAATTTTGCTATATAAATGAAAAAAATAACAAATATTTTGAAAAAAAAAAAACACACTTTTTTGCTTAGTTTTTGTTATAAAATTTAGCAAATTATCTTTCTTTGTATTATGCTACATTTTTGGAGGAAACATAACCTAAAAAAGTGTATGTTATTTAGTCCGTGTAAAAGTTTTAGAGTCTACAAACTATGGGAAAAAATCGCAACTTCAAAAAAAACTCACCATGCCTCTTAATAAATACTTATTAAAAAATTTGTACTGTCATTTAAGGGCCTAAAGAAATGATAGGCTGTCAGTACATCAGGACTGATCAATAATAAAATGTATATACCATAGTTTGTAGACTCTATAACTTTCACAAAAAGTAAATAATATGCACTGATTTGGGTTATTTTTACCAAAAAAAAAATGTAGCAAACTTTTGATGTAAATTTATGAAGAAAGATTATTTGAAATTTTTTTTAACAGAAAGAAAAAAAAAGTTTTTTTTTCTGTTTTGAAATTTTTGGTATTTTTTCGTTTACATAACAAAAAAACATTTTTTTTAAAAACAGTGGTGATTAAATGTCACCCGAAGAAACTTCTGTTTCAAAAATATGATAAATTTCATTTGGGTACAGTGTTACGTGACTAATCAGCATTCAAAGTGTGATCGTGTTGAAAGCTGAAAATTGGCCTGGGCAAGAAGGGGGTGGAAGTGTCCAGTTTTGAAGTGGTTAAAATATGTCTAAGGCAACAATTACTCCAAACCAACTTGTCGGTCCCAGTGTAGCTTGGGGAACAGCTTTACTTTGTCAACAAGATGTATTGAAATCCAACACCTGTAAAAATGATTATTTGTTCATGTACTCAAACGTCAAAATGTAATAATTTGCTTACATACCCTGTAAAGACCAATCCAGTCCCAGGTGCTACTGGGAAAATCCTTGCTTGCAGAATAGCTTATGAGAGAGTCGTGGTCAGCATTCCATTCTCCCTCCGCTCTCAGAGTCACTGGAGGTTCAAGGATAAGAGGCCTCATCAGCAAAAGTCAAGTGTAAAGATAAACAATACAGGTTTTCTTTTCAGCTAAAGCTGGATACACACAGTCCAAATATCAGCTGATTGAGCAAGAACCAGCCAACATTTGGACTGTGTGTATTATACTGTGTGTATAGCCGTATTTTATCAAAGGAACAAGCTGCAAAACCAGCATCCAATCAGCGCTCGCAGCCTTTAAATCATTTTTATTTTTGTTCAGCCCTTTAAATTAAACGTAAAAAGAGCCTAAAGTGTACACCAGTCTTAAGTTTGTCTCCTAAAGAGGTGCAAAGTATGGAGGAGTAGACTGCAGACATATTCACCACAATAATAAAGGACATACAGTTTTTAAAAAGGTAAAACCAATGGATAGCAAAATCAATCTGTAGCTAGTTTTAGTAGCTGATTTTAAGTGAACAATGCAATATAAATGCATTTGCTTTCTTCTAGCTTTCACAGGTTCCTCCAAATACTCAGTTCTTCCTGTAAAAAAAAAAATCCTCATTT